GATGGGTCATGCGTCTAGCACTCCAGCCTCAGGTATATTCAGTCTGCCCAAAGACGAGATGCCTTGGCCTTGTATTCCTCCCAGTCAGACCACACCACCGCAACTCATACTGCACCACAGGGCCAAAACTTCTGCAGGTGAGACATCTGGCTGCTAAGCTGACACTGCAGCACAACTACCTTTGCATTTCCACTCATGGAGTGGAGATAATAATGTTACCTGAGCTCACCAAGCATTTTGGCATAAATATTGAACACCAAAAACTGCAAGGACAGATTATTTCCTTAAATTGAGGAAAAGAGATTTTCAATTTGATATGATTATAATTAAAGTAAGAAATCTGCTCATTAAAGATCAACCTGGTCTAGCAGGAGGTGCCCCTGCACATGGCAGGGGGGTTGAAACTAGAAGATCTTTAGATAGACCCTTCCAAACCAAACCATTATTTGATTCTATGAAATAAAAAGGATTCTTTTTTTGTGCGTGTGTGAAATTAAATGTTCACCTTTAGTCAGTTTTTGAAGTATTTGGCTGCTTTACTTGCTCCTAGTAAAATTATGACTCCTCTGTGCAGAAGTTGAGAAATGTATTTTGTGCAAGACTTAGACTGTTTTTCTTTATAAACAGGCATTTTAATTTCCAGTTTGTTCAGTGTTTTCTGCCCCATATAATTCAGCATCAAGAAGCTTTATGAGGCAACCCTTAGAACATTAAGAAGTTCCCATTTGGCTGTCAGCCTATGCTGAGTTAAACTCAGGACTAATTTTAGTATTTATTGGAATGTGCTACTAGAAAGAAAATGTCAAAGGTGCTCACATGAAGGCAGCACTAATTTGAGTTTCTGGCTTGAACCAGTTTCTGCCTTGCAACAAGTGCCACTTTTTTCCACCCACTGCTGTCAAGTGGAATAAATTGGACCAGGAACATCTTTTTAAGAGTAGGAAGTTTTGTATACACTTCCAGTGTTGTAAAATATTCCCTCTTCCCAAAATATCTTCAAAATAGTGCTCCACTATTGAGGGAGGAGAGGGGAGTGCATTGGCACAGTACCTGTAGTGTCAATACTGCAGACAGCATTCTCACCTCATTCTAACATGAGATACTTCTCTTCTAGCTAAAGAGACACAAAAGATTTATTGTGTACTCACTACCCCTAGCTGCTCTGTTTCAAGTTGATGGAGGCAGCTGGGAATGAGCACACACTCTGGAACTTTTAACCTTTCTGCCCTTTCTCAGTTTGTTTAGAAGGTTTCGTCTTGCAAGAAGGAAGAAAATCATCTGTCTGCTCCATGCAGACCTTCAGAGAAAGTCTTTGGGTTCTGAAAGGAAAATGCTTCCAGCACCTTTCCCCTGAACACTTGAGAGGAAGTCTATAACCTATAATTTTTTCTTCTCAAAGACAAAAAAATTACTTGCCAGAACTAGCAGTTGCCCTCACAGGCTAATCAGACATCATCTTCTCCCCCTTACTCAGTTTCACAATACCTGAGTTTGAAAGACATAATTCATGAAAGGAGCCAGTTTGGAGACAAGCAATCTGAACAGCCACTACACCCAAGCCTCAAGCTGCCTGAGGGCACATCAGCCTGCATCCCCAGAATACAAACAAATGTGGAAACATGCATCCTGTGGAATACGGCAAGAAGTAACCACCTGTAATACAAAGACTTCCTGACAGCAGAAGGTTGTAGAGAAACGCAGAAAAAATAGATTAGTTAAGTCATCCTGAAGGCTTAATTAATAATCCATATTATTAATGTTTATTAATTATTGCTGCTGGAAGATTCCCCTATGTATGACAGAGCCAATGCCAGCTGGCTCCCAGATGGACCTTACACTGGCCAAGGCCAAACCCACCAGCAATGGTGGTAGCACCCCTGGTACACCATATTTAAGAAGAGAGAAGAAAACCAGCTGCAGAAAAGCAGCCAGAAGAATGAGAGTATGTGAGAAAAAAACTATGCAGAGAACAAGGTCAGGACAGGGAAGAGGTGTTCCAGGCCCCAGTGCAGAGACATTCCCCAGCAGCTGGTGGTGAAGGAGCCACTCAAAGGCCAGACCCGGTGGGAATCATGTGCAGGCTCCTGGTAGGACCTGTGCCCTGGTAGAGAGAGAAGCCCATCCTGGAACAGGTTCCTAGCAGGGCCTGTGACCCCATGAGGGACCCATGCTGGAGCAGTTTGTGAAGAACTGCAGTCTGTGAGAAGGATTTATGTCAAGAGAAATTTGGGAGAACTGTCTCCCATGAAAGGGATCCCATGCTGGAGCAAGGGAAGAGTGTGAGGAGTCCTCCCCCTGAGGAGGAAGGAGCAACACAGTCAAGGTGTGAGGAACCTTCCCTGTCCTCCTGTGCCACTGCAGGGGTGGTGGGAGAGAAACTGAGAGGGAATCTGAGTCCAAGGAGAAGGGAGGGGTGAGGGGAATGTATTTTAAGATGTTTTTATTTTCCATTCCCTACTCTAATTTGATAGGTAATAAATTAAACTAATTTCCCCGAGTCTGTTTTACCTGTGACAATAATGGGCGAGTGACTTCCCTGTCAACCCATGAGCCTTTCATTGTTTTCTCTCCCCTGTCCAGCTGAGGAGGGGAGTGACAGAGCAGCTTCAGTGGACACCTGGCATCCAGCCAGGGTCAACCCACCACAAAGGTCAAGGGTAAGAACACAATTTCCACCAATTCTGTCAACCAAGTATCCCATCTTCCTCTCGTTTTACTTTAGTAAGATGTCAAATGACATGGTAGGAGAAAGGGATCTCCCCCGGCAAACTAATGACACTCCTTTGGAAAAACAGTGGCAAACAACCAGGTTCAGCTACCCCGAGGAAAGCCCACATTATCATTTAGCCCACAGCTGTCTTAATTTAAGAAAAATAAATACTACCATTAAGGCTTTCTGTAAGAAAGAATCTCTCCTTGAAAGAAAGGAGTGTGATTTTATTGAAAAATCTGAGAAATAAGTTCTTTCCATCCAGGGATTTTCTGTGTAAGGAAGCTCCAGTTGTTAGTTACATTAAATATTTGTGGGCCAGTCACAAAAAGAGAAGCTTCTTGAAAAGCCTGGTGTCTATGGAAAAGCTGTCCAGAGGAGTTCTTTCTGGCAAAAGCCATGTTGTCAGGAAAAGAGAAAGGTAGTGTAAGCAGTAGTGCAAAAAACAAAGCTAAAAAAAACCCAAAACCACAACACAAACAAAAATAAAAAAAACAAACACAAAGATTTTAAAATTGTTATACAGTTATTAAGAGGTAAGGTTCACTAAGGTGAATGAAAGCCTGGCTATTGACAGATAAGTGAGAAATTAATCTGCAATAGCTTCGTGTCAAGATGTATCTCAGATGCATTTTCTTGAAGGATTTGGCAAAATGTTTGATCCAAATAAGCCCAGGAAAGATTTATCTGCAAGGAATGGAAAATGTTTTAACCACATAAGCTTACAAGTCTGAAAATGAATCAGAGAAAAAACTAAGACCAAAAATAGAGGACTTGGAACTTGTGGGCTCCTTTCACAACTAGCCAGAAGTCTCTATAGGTCAGAGTACCAAATGTTTCAACATTTCCTATTCATTCTCTGGCAGCAATACTAAATCCTCACAGGGGAAACAATGTGGAAAATTTTCAACATCTTTACTTTGGATGTCACATGGTCTATGAATTAAACAGGAAAACAAAAGCTGGCAAAAGTTGAAATTATAAAAGCTCCAGGTTTGTACTAGCTAGGCTGTCTAACTTGGGAATACTGAAGAATACTCTGCTTCATAGAGAAAAAAATGCTGCATGTTTCATTGTCTCAGTTTCTTCAGTGGAAATGGGAAAGGCGCAGTTTTCTGCTTAAATCTCACATGAAATTTCAAGAAGCCTCAAACTAAACAAGTTCATTTGGAAGAATACATATTCTTATCAAGGGGTATGGGATGCAAATTCTATTTTCAAAAGCATTTATAAAAGACTATTACTTCCTCCTTATTAAATGTAATATGAACAATACAGATAGTTTCTTTTTTCACCTCCTTAAGACACACATTAAAATTCTTTGGATTGTACCAGATCTTCTGCTTCAAAAGTAATTTCTCACTCTCTTTTTTCTCTTTCAAATGCTCTCAAAGGCAACAATGACAGGTAAAATGGATCAAAGAGAGAATCAGATGTGATTCCAAGTTTATCCTATGGGTTATGTCTTGACATTCAACTCAAAGGAAAAGAATGCTTGGTTTACATCAAATCCAGATTTCTGAAGTAACACAGGACCTCTCTGACTAGTCCTGAAATGTGCTGTCCCTGAAACAGTATTATTGTCTTTTTATACACAGTATTAACTGCAGACTTTTTTGGAGAAAAAACCCACAACTTTACAGCAATTCTTAAATATCCCAATGATGTTTTTATTATTCATTTAAACAGACTTGTACATTACACAGAGCTTAAGAGCATGATTATAAAAACCAATCACTACCGCCCTTTATTTTTTTTAAGTCATGGAAGAGTTGAGCAACTTACACAGAGGTGATAGCACTTAGATTTTCTGAGGTCTTGACAATATTACATCTCACAAATCTAATTCTCTAAGTAAACAAACGTCATCAGGCTTCTGAAGTATCATTTATCTTTCCAGCATGCCTTTCTTTATAATGTTACTGGATACACTCACATTTACAGTTTTGAATTGCCCAATCTCCTCAGCCCAGTCTGTACTTCTCACAACACACAGAGCAACAGCAGGGGCCCTTTTTCTCTAAACAAAGTCAGAGCATCAGGGAAAGTCTATCAGATTGTGTAAGCATCTTCTCAACATCTATATGTAAACAAAGTCATCAGATCTTCAGTAAAGGCAGTTTTTCCTTCAGAATAATAATGAACAGCTTTTGTGAAGAATGTAAAGAGCCAGTCTGCTTAATAAAATATCCCCATGTAAAATCTCCAGAGATTAAACTACAACATCAATGCTTGCTACAATAGTATTTATATGTAGTCAACTGGCTCCATGAATAGGAAATTACTTGATTTATTGCAAAGAGTAGATTTCAGACAAACAGGTATTTAGAACTCCAGTTTGTCGATTTTACTTAAACAAATCAAGAATTTAATGTTTTCATGCAACATTTGCACTTCAGTCTTAAATAATCATGACAAACAGCAGAAGTAGTTAAAGAATGCACTAATTATAGACCTTAATGAAAATACAAAAAACTCAGCATTATAGGTTATACAAAGTAAAGAACATCTTAAATACTTTCCCAAAATACTGCAGCAGCTGAGACACAGTGATGTATGCCTTATAAGGGCATAGGAATGTAATTTAGAAATCACAGGGAAACTACCCATTTCCTTTAGTTTCACAAATAAGACAAATGCAACATCCAACTCCACACACTGATTTTTCAAATTATGTCTTTACAGTACCTTGAGTTTTATCCAAATAGTAGAAGTTAGACACGTTGTTTATTTAGTAAACGATAATGCAGTAAATCTCTATTACATTTCTTCCTTGGTTTTACCTGGAGTAGCCATGTTATTTAAAAGAGGGCAGGTTTGGCACTTTTATACTGATGTCACCAATATTAATATTTCTTGGGATCTCTGGCAGATTCATATTCTTTACAGCTGAAACAGCCCGGGCTGGAGCTCCTGCTAAACCAGCCTGTGTATAAAGTGAGGAAAAATGCAAGTCAGGCAAAGTTGGTCACAATAAGATTCACTAGCAATATACACAGACAACTAACTTTTCAAGTATTTCCATGGTTACACAATTAGAAAGACCAGATGGTAATTGTGTTTGGAATGAAATGGGTTATTTGGAAATATTAAACCAGAAAGAGAAAACAGTTCACACGTTCCTTTTTATATGGTAAAACATGTAATGCCAACTTGATGGGAAAGTATGCAGTAAGGAACAGGAGGCTTATCCAAGCATGTGTAATGTGTAGGTTATGGAACAGACAATCTGGAGGTATTTAAAGCTCAATATGCTGCCTTTGTCCTTTACCTATTCTAAAAGTTCACATGGTTCACAGTTGAGTAACACTGGTTACAGGTTCAGAATGTGTGACCTCCAAGAGACAAGTGACTGCATATCAGTTGAACTACATGTGTGTGTGGTGGCTTAGTCTAAATGAAAAGGATAAACACCTTGCATTAAAGGTGATTAACAGCATGCAGACAGATCATTTCTACAGACAAAATGGAGTAATCTGTTACCTCATTAATCTAGTTATATGCTAACTTATCTGTAACCTGCAGGCACACTGGAGCATTACATAATAACCTGGTTATGCCAAATTAATGACTGAAGTACTAATTTTGAATTGAAGTCCTCTACTGTATGTTGTTGCTACTGTATGTTAAAGTCAGAGCCTTTCTGTGTAAATATACAAGTTTTAAAATACAGAGGTCAGATCATCAGCAAGTTCCATTCTGCCTTTTAGATAAAATATAGTATATAAAAAGTTTATATACTAGGGTACAGGGTATATTACTGAAATGCCAACAAAGACGATTTACAGCTCAGAGGCCTGAAGACAAAGAACAGGATCTTTTCTTATTGCTTCTGAAGAACAGCTCTTCAAAACCTTATTTTAAAGTCTACTGAAAAAGGCCAGTAATTAAGTTGTATTTGATGTTGTATAGAAAAGGTACTATTAATTTTAAGAATGGAAATGTTTCTCCTTGAAGTTCAAATTTTCTATGTGTATTTAGAATTAGCTGTGTGGTTTTACTTTAGGCTTGTCACGGAAGTGTAAAAATAGCATTTTTCTTCCTTGAAAAAAAAGTAAAGCCTGGAAGATGCTGAAAACAGAACTCTTACTTGAAGAAAAAGATGTCATAACCAAATGCTGTGAACCTGTAAAAAGACCCCCCACCTTTTCTTTTGATGTTTTAAAAGTGGTATTAAAATTATTCAAAAAGCATAAAAACTACAAAGTTACTTTCAGAACGACTGGAGTTTTAGAATGTAGCATCTTTCAGGCCTAGTAAAAAAGAGCAATTCACAAGAAACTAAGCAACATGCCAAGACCTGATTATACAAAAGACAATGTAGCAATGGAAGGTCTTTCATTATAAGAATGTCAAAGACTGAAGAAACTGTTGCATTTGCAGATAAAATAATTATGTGCAAGAAATACAGAAAAAAAATTTTAAAAAAATAAAAACTTCTGGGAAAATTTGTGTCGTATTTGATTATTAAATAGTGTTGCTAGCTGACTACTACTTTTAAGTATAGCCTTTCCAGGTTCTGCATTTTCTCTGAAATTCATTTAAGTTGAAGGCCACAATTAGACTGAAGAGTGTACCCAACTTCCATGGTGTCCACCTGCACTGCTGCACATGAGGGGACGGACACCCCATTTATTTCTCAGATAACAATTCTACTTTTTAAGGCTATTTAAAAATATATCTCCCCCCTTTTAGTATTCTTTTAAAAGAAATAAACTAAAGGTGAAATTAACATAAGATTTCCACTTAAAATCTTGCCAACTGTTCTCCTTCTCCCTTTAAATACATAGCCTATAGTAAAAATATAACAGATTAAACCTTCTGATTTTGAATTCACCCTTTTATATCACGTGGAAAGGCTAAAGCATTATAAATCCCTAGATTTTACTCACAGGAGAATTCCCAGTACTAGGAACAGAGACCAGAAGGCCTTGAATCATCTGTTACAACATCCCTCCTGCCAAACACTCATATATGAGAGATGCGAAAGTTGGGAAAGGCAAGAGGAGGTAGAGAGAAAAGCTACTGACATCTTAAATCTCCAGTGCAACCAAACAATTTGCTCTCACTTTGGCCCTAACATGTTGGAACTACATATCTTTAAGGTCCCTTCCAAAACCAGTCAAACCATTCTATGATTCTGTAATAATCCAAATTATCGGCTCTCAGAAGTACACACGAAGTAAAACTAAAAAGGTGCAAAAAAAGTATTGTCAAAGCCTCTTTCCTTTTTTTCCCTTAACATCATCAAGCCCACTGGGTCATTCACTTCAGAGGCTGTTTCAGTTCCACTACCTTGATGAAGGGGAAAATGAGGACCTAACACTAGCTGTGTTAAGAAATGCAAGTATCCAGAATCTGCATCCCTGATTCTGCAGTACCTTAAAGGACTAGTACTAGAGACTGACATTTCTTGCTATTTATTAAAAAACACTGCAGAAGATATGAAGCTGCTCAACACTGTCCCTTTATATCTGAGAACAGGGGAATACTAATTTGAAATCGAGAGGTAACTAACTACCAGTGAAGTTTTATCAGATGAAACAACAAACGCAATTCCTTTTTATTTGGTTCTATCCTTTAAATTTTATGTTCAGTTACTGGAGAAATATTCTTTAAGCAAAACCAGAAGTGGGGCAATGTAAACTGTTTTCCATAGAGAAGATGAAAATACTAATAAAGTAGTAACAAAAGCAATGAATTATACAATTTGTAACTGAAACAATGGGAAACCAGAAAAATATTGTAAGTGATGGACATGGTCCACACAAACAGGCATGGCTGGCAATTCAAAAGAGAGATGCCTTCTAGGTGACCAGGATGGAGATTCCTTACCCTAATTTAATGAAAGTTAATCACTCTTAATGGACAAAGAAAAGTTTTAGTATAACCGGTCATTATTTTTACCTACCTGCAGCTATCCTCTTTACACAGACTTACAGTCCCTGCCTCCCGCCCCAAAGGCATAGGATACAATGGAGACACAATTGAGAATTATTTATAATACCACAGTTTACATGACCATTGCCCTTCCACCCCCCTACACAGTCACAACTTCCAACAGCCACATTTCATGATGACCATTCTGGGTCAGGATCAGCAGATCCCTGACAAACATACTAAGAATTTCAAATTACCTCTTCCTTTTTTTTTTTCTCTCCTTTTTCTTTTTTTTTTTTTTTGCCATTGAAATCATATTTCACTGTGATATGTTGCAGTAGAGATTTTCAAACTATTTTATTATCTTTTCCTGTAATTGTCTTATATTAAAGAGAGTTTGTAATTCAATGTATTCATAATATGCATTGCAGAACGCTATGTATCACAATTAATGCCAACCCTGTCAAAAACAATATAGTCATAGAGTATTTCTAAGAGAGACCGAGCAGTTCATTAATGTCTAATGTGGATAAAACGACTGAAAATTACTTAAATTCCCAAACTGGATAATACATTACTGCAAATGCCATTATATCCAAGTGCCTTAACTGTTCCTTTTTAGCATGTCAAACAGTGAACCAGTATGCAGCCCTTCTATTTTTTTATTGTTTCTTTTACAGCAAGTGAACTGTATTTGCAAACACAAAGGTACTACAAGAAATATTTGCAGCCCACTGTGCGTTCAAGCAGTTTTATAGAGGTACCTGGTAAAAAGAGCCATCACTGTAACACTGAACTGGCCAAGTTTCAACTGCCTTTTTTATCAAATAATTCAGCAGGTTAAGTTGGTGAGGTGCAAAGAAACAACTGTTTCACTTGGGGAAAACAAAACAAAACACACAGCAAGCTTTAAACATGCAGTGAAAGGTGAATTGCCTATCACAGCACGCAAATGACTTGAGCAAGTGAAAATGAAACTTCTTAAGACATACTAATGAAATTTCAGAAATACAGTACGAATTGCATAGAGCTGGTATTACAATAAGCCAATACACCATATTTTTCCCACAGCTGCTTTGTATTCTCAACATCATTTATGATTATGGGTTGTACTTCAATGTTGAAACACTGTGCATTGAAATTTTAGGTTCAGTTACTGTGAAAAAATGCAAGTAAACTTGTTCATACACTTTCAGAGTGAAAGAGCAATTCAACAGATACAAAACAAAAATGCTGTTTTAAATATTGAAACAGACACATTTGAAAACCAAGCTTTTGTTTTATTTGTCCTAGTCTGTCGAGAAATTATCAGCTGCTGTTAGCTTATTTAGGTCATTATTTATCACTATAATAACCAATTTTCTTCATTCTTATAATCATCCTTTCTAATAATGTGCCACTGGTAACTTTGTAAGAAAGTGATCCCAGAAACACTGTTTTACCCTTTAAATTCGGGAAATCATTTGGAAAAAGCACTGCACATCACAAACATAGTTTATAGGCATTTACAAATATCTTTTTAGAATGTTCAAACCGCCATCCCAAACAACTCTACGCAGAGCTAGCTACCAATGAAATAAACATATAAAATACACAGCCCACTGGAAAACAAAATAATGAAGGCTAATGCTTTGCAAAATAAGCCACCCTTTTCCAGGTATTTTGGAGGTACTAGGACCTCTCTGCTGCTGGTGTTTCGTATCAATGCTTCTTTCCAGAACAAGTATGACTTCAAAGCAGCAGGGTTATGAAATCATGAAAGGATGCAATACATAATATAAAGGAATGATCATGTCCTCTGCTTATGAAGTTAAATAAATGAACATAATTAGAGAAAAAACAAAATGAAGTCTGCAAGTATATCAAAATGAGGCCAAACAGATAAGAAGACTTAAGACATACTCTTAGAAATTTTAAGCACTTGAATCACAAAGAGAGTAATGGATGGGAATGATTCATTATTTGTTTGTTTGTTTTTCATTGCCAGACCCAAAAATAAAAACAGAACATGTATGAGCTAAACAGAGGAAAGAAAAGCAGCTTTTAATGAATTAAAACAAAATAAAACAAAAAACCTAAAACAAACCAAAAAACCCTGAAATCCAGCTCCTTATTCTTACAAGGAAATACAGATTATCTACTACAAGTGTTGACATATTAGGCAAAGGAAGGTAATTTGCTTAACTTTTTCATGTAGCACACTTCAAATTTAGGTAAAACTTTTACATGCTACTCCAAAGTATTTTTAGCTAATGCTTTACAACTTAGTGCTACTAAATACAATTACAGAATATATTTGTTAGATCTTAGATGTATTACATTAATTTATCCTAGGAATATCATGTAAAAAGCAAATAGCAAAGCTATTCATAAATTAAACAAACTTCACTAGCTTAAAATTTCAGCTATTTAAAATACCTAAATACACAGATACTTGAAATGAGTGGAAATGAATTCTGAGGTATTGCAATTGACATCGACTGACATTCAAATTGTTGAGCTGAACTAAATGTTTCAAACAGCGAATGATGGAGGACAATGACCATAAACTGAACTTCAAACATACATTTGCCTCCTCCTTTTTCAGTAGTTATTTTTATTACTGATGTTCCATGACTGCAGCTAACAAGACACCTGAAAGCCAAACCAAGTGATTCAGACTGCAAAGGCAGCAAATGTACAACTGAAGTTGAGTACGTGCTGAGAGGCCTTCTCATCCTCTGTTTGATACGCTTCAGGTTGAAAGCTCAGCTATGAAATTTCTACATCCTCTTTACAAATTGTACTGATAATTTTATTCTGTACACATAAAATTATTTGAATTTGTAGGGCTTTGTTGGTTGTTGTTTTTCTGGGTTTTTTTTTTAAAGTTTTTTCACTTGAAACTAGTTCTGAAACTTCTCTCTGCAAGCAGATAAAGGTTCTTTGTTTTCATTTGGAAATACTTTATAGTGAAGCAAGAGTTTATACTACCTACTTTAGACTAGCAGATACCAAATTCTCCCAATAAGGAAGCTATTTCTATTACACCATAATATCATATTTTATGTATGTTCAATTTTTATTCAATTAGTTTTGCAGCTTTTTGTTAATATTCATACAAGTTCGTATTCCTTTGTTTCTTAAACAATAATACAAAGAAAAGGTAAGTTCTAAAATGCAGGAAGATAAATAAAATAAAAAATACGATGTCAATGGAAAGCTAGTAAAATACACTAGAGCCAATAAAAAGATGAGGGAACTACAAGAAGAAACTAGCACAAAAAGTAGGCTACAAGGACTAGTATGGGTATATTTACACATACATTTTTGAGTCTGGCCTACATAATTTATTGCCTTTGACATCATTTTGCTTTCCCTTTTTGTTAAAAGTACATTTTTTCTAAAAGTCAGCAATACCTTTGTCTACCTGTCCTGTCTGGGAGACTGAAAGATAAAGGTCTGTAAGAGAGAAGAATGGAAAGAGCTAGAAAAGATCAGGAGGTTCGAAAAAAATGAGGTCCAACTTAAAAGTCTAAATCACACACAGTTGAACACTCCAAATAGAGAAGAGGTGTCCCAGATTTACCTACAATACTTTCAAAGGTTCCCAATCACCCCTCTCCCAGAAATTCCCTCCCTTAATTACAATGATCCTTTGGCTTTAGGAGGATTGACCATTAATCCATTCACAGATAAACACTAAACTGAATGGTAGGGAAATGCATGAAAAACAACATTTCTAAGGTCAGAAACAGAATTTCCTTTGTTGCCCACCCAAGCAATACAAGAGCTGAATTAGAAATCAAAAGCTAGGGACTCCCTCATGGTGGTTTAAATAACTAATCTCTGTTGAAAGCATTAACAAATTCTTCAAGTTGATAACTTTGCTCAAGTATTTGTGAATTTAATTAACACATTTAATCTGCTTCACTAAATCCTAACTGAAAGACTGTTTAGAAACCTAATACACAACTTATGTCAAATGGCTAAATTCTGTATATGAGGAGAAGGCAGATGGACACAATAAAAAAACTAAAGTCTTTCTGAAAATGCAGCTCAATTACAAGTTTATTAGCTTCAACATTTCAGCTATGAAAGAAAAGGCAATTTAACCTTAAAGCAGCTATTTTATGGATGCAAGAATTATGATGGAGACCTAGCAAGCGAAACAGACTAAAGCAGGAGTGCTGTGGCATAGGTGGCAGTCCTATGAACTACAGACTATATCAATAATAATTTATAAATGTTAAAAACAACGTATTTTTTTAATATTAAACTAAGACGATGCACTAGTTTTGATTTCTTAGTGAGCAGCCTTCAAAGACATTATGAATTTATTACTGATTTTTATTCACATGAACAGGATTTGCTTGTATCTGGAAAATACATGTTCAGGAAAAACCTGCTTAAAGATTTACAATCTTGATCAAAAAGACAAAAGGAAAATATACCAATCAGGAAATTTCTGTGGATATACATGAAACAAATGGTTAATGATCTGAGGAAATAGTTACCAGGTATTGTGAAGTACCTCAGCATTGCAGTAACTGTTATATTTTAAAAGAAACAGTCACTGAAACAGAAAAAGAAACCAAAACAAAACCAAAACAAAACATTTGTGGTGAGCAGATTGTGAAATGTTCTACTCCATCCCAGTCACCAAGTGTTTTAATTTATCACTGGTACTTTTTTACCTTCTGCAACTCATTGCTGAAAGCAAAGGAACAATTTCTTACTTGCCTTGCATATGTTCTGAGCTCTACATGGTTTCTTCTACAACCTTTTTTTATATTAAAAGCATCTTAAAAGAAATAATGACTTATTAATGAATAATGGAAAACAGCAAGTACTGGTGCTGGCTGTACTGAATTGAAGTGTTTCAGATGACTAGTCAGAGACTTGTCTACAGTTGATTTGGTAACAGAATTTACATAATTAAGAATAAATACCCCAATTAAATATTTTTAGGTAAAACTGCTATATGCGTAATACATGGTGGAACATAGTTGCTCAGTAAGCTCAGCTTTTGGGACACTATGTTGACTTTTCAACAAATATAGAAAAGAACATGTATACATCAGTTATTAAAACACAGTAAAAATTTATGAGATTAAACCCAAATATTTATTTTTATGATTAATGGTTCATTCTCAGTTTGCAAAACATGTTCAAAGGAACACTGGACATCTTCATAATATACAATACAACCCTTCTGTATAATGTATCATATCATATTAATGTATAATGTATCATATCATACCTAGCTTTTTCCTGTTTTTCCCACAATGTTGTCCTGTTCTTGAATAAAGTTTGGAAGTTGTGCAAATCAGACAATTAAAGGTATTAAAAGACTTGAGATAACGCAGTGTGAGATTGCAGAATTAGAACAGTACTCATTGTACCACAAAAAAAGCTGAAGAATTCATTTCTCTTTGTTGCACTGAAGTTAAAACTAGGAAGTTTTCTGAGTCTTCTCCTAAAATGTCATTTAGTTCATATTTATGCCACCTGCAATATTTTAATCTACTCAAACGACTTCAACTTTAGACGTCTCCAATTTTTAGAAGTTTGAATATTACGCTTCAAAAATTAGATGATGTGTTGTTGTTCTGTGAAACTACTGAGATGTACTAGTAGTAATTTGGCTCATGAGGTATTTATGGAGCTGTATTATTCTGTGCCATAGATAAAGTATTTCTAAAATCCTTTATTAGTCTTAAGTGTTTTTTTTCCTAAACATAAATTCAGAAATTGTTGAATTGAAAAGGGTTTCCCACAACTTCTGTGAGTATCCCTTGCTCAGATTGTTATGGGCATACACAGAATATCATTTTCCCACGCAAATCTGGTCTATTGAAAACTACATGTTCAGATTCCTAAAATGGCAGAATTAAAATTTTCTTTATAGGGTCTAAAGCTGGGCTTTTAAACCTATCTAGTCTATTTTAGTCCAATTTATTACTTTGTATTGCAGTATTATTCTGACACTAAATAGGTTATTTATTTCAGATGCTAGAAAGATAATAGCATAGAGGAATAGGTCGTCTTTGTATACACACTTTGGTTCTTTATTTGTTATAGTCACTAGTCCAGTATAATAAATAAACTGTAAATAAAATACTTTCTGCAAGAGAAACCTAGACAACTGCAGAAGTATCTCAATAGCAATGGCACACAATGCTATTAGATACAAATAGCAAAACTAATCAGCAGTGACTGTAAGCAATCATTACTTATGATGAAAGGGTACCACATCCTAGCCTAACAACACATTGTCAGTTCTTAGCATTATAAGCAAGCAGCTCTATATAGTTTGCAACTGAAGGACAAAGAGAATTATATAGCACACACTTCCTACAAGCATTTTTTCATTCAGAAACTACACAGTGTGTCACTCTTACCTCAGATTTCTCCAGTTTATTTTGAGCATCAATTTGAGTGACAATTTCATTCATATTGGTCTCCAAAACCATTCCACCCATGACCATTTCAGCCAATATATTGTGGACCTAAAAAAAAAACCAAAAAAAAAACCACAAACAAAAGAAAATTTTAAAATTTAAAAAGTCATACAAACATCTGGACATATGTTATCTAGATTCACCAATACATGAACAGATACCTTCTGTAACTCAGTTAATGTTAGCAATTTATTTAAAACCATTTGGGAACAAAGCTCATAAACAGATGTTCATTTCTCCAGTATTTTCTTTGCTCATAATTGTGCTTAAACTTGTTATTTATACCACTTTTCTAATCAATGCTAGAGGAAATTTTCACATTCATTTTTCTTTCAGTACATGTTTTCTATTCAAGGGCTTCAGACAAAAGCTCCAATTAGCAACAAACACTTTCTAAACACATCTAAGCAACAGGTTCTACAAGGTTAAACAAACTGCTCACAGATGTGTAAGAACCAATATGAACTTCCTATGAAGGAAGAGAGACCTAGCAATGCCCAGCCACCATAGTTACCCAGACTAGGCTTAGAGCAGAATCAATACACCTGAGTTATGCCATAAACAGGGAGCCTTCAGCATCTAGGACTCAGACAGACAGGCAGGACTCAAACTGAAGGACTACATAAGCCAATTGGGGACATTAGTAAAAGGGGTTCATATTAAACCCCTCTGCCTTGCAACCCTGATTTGGGGATGTGACCCCTGTTCATAATTCTCTGCTTCAGAGTCTGTATTTGCATTTTATATAAAGGATTTTTTTTTTGTTCTTTTAAAAAAGCACACTTCCACATATTACCTAGTAAAAATCCAGAGTTATTTTGTAATGTATAATATTTTAATCCCTTTGTAGTTCTGAAGACAAGGAACATTTTATTAATTTTCTGAAATAAATATATTGTGCAACCTGATACTTCAAAGCATAATTCTGCTATTATTTTGGATACTCACACAATTTCCCATGGATCAAGGATAAAAGTAAATCTCTAAATCAAACAATTTTAAAGATTAATTCCAAGTAGCATAAAAAAAGCCCCTACACTTTTGTGGTTTTGCACCAAACCTCAGAAAAAAACCTGAAGTCTTTTCCCTGATAAATTACAAAAAAAGTTACAAAATTAGGTTTGGTAATTTCTTAGGGAAGAGATGTGTTTTAGAAGTAGACAGATTTGCAGCTTCATTCACAATTACACTTTATTTCAAGATCAGTGGTGTTTTTAAGCTTCTGCAAAGGCTTATCCAGCCTTGACTTCTTGACAAGTAGGAAATTTTCAGTGTTACCTAGGAAGGCTGGACCAGATGATCCTTGAGGTCCCTTTCAACCTGGCATTCACGATTCTGTGATAAAAGCCAGATTACTAAATTGCTCAAGAAGAAACTAACACTTACTACTTCTCAAATGTGGCAGGATCACAGGCAGTTATACACGTGTCCAAATCTCCAAAGGTTTTTGAAAACATTAATAAACATCATTAATATCAATGTTCCCTATCATCATTTGGATTGAAAGGGATACTAGACCTCACTAAGTATATTACTTAGTGTCACATCTTCAACTATTAATTCACAGCATGTGCAATAGCACCTTTGTACATGGTTTTTAACAAATGTCTGCGGATTGCATTTGGTTTTGGGAGGTTTGGCTTGGTTTATTGTTTGCTGTCTTTTTTTTCCAGCCTGGTAGAAGATGCAGATATTGCTTAAAAGATGACATTAAGAGGGCCAGCTGTTAACATCACCTTAAAAAAAAAGTAATGCTGCAAGGTCTCTACAGTAAGTGCACATTATGTATGACAGTTCAGGGAACAAATGATCTGACCCATCCGACATTTTGTATAATATGAGGACAAACACAAAATCAAGAACTGGGCAAGTTTGAGCAGTGGAACTACACCACATGGATTCTAGAGGTCCCTTTGAGTATAACTTATTCAGTGCTTCTAAGAACAAGGAAGCTGAACTGGTCTACCATTTTATAAATTAAAAAGAAAAAAATTAATTCTTCTCAAGTACATAGACCACTGATTATAAAAGTAAGATTGTAGCTCAAGTGCAACAATGCAACCACCACGTAACAAGCAAAAGGATTAGATTCACAGGTTCAAAGAATGCATCTGACCAAGGCATGAATCCCCCTTGGTGTAAGTTCTGAAAGAAGTCTGAAACATGCAAGCAAGCTACAGATTAAGAAGTAACTGACAAGGGAGCACTGCTTGCTGATACAAAAGGTCAGAAGACAAACTTCAGGTTTTTGGGCCATCATAGCAGTGATGCCACACAGAACAGCAGAAGACTTGAATACTATAGGGACAGCAACATTCTTGTATGACTGGTGTGAATATCCAGCCTTTGGTAGTTATTGCCATTACCCCTATTACAACAGATGCAGTGAAGAAGCAGTAATAATTCTGAGGTATTATTGCAAAAATAAAAAGTGCTTCCTACTTCAGTTCTATGCTCTGTCTAAAAGCAAGAACACATGCTTTGACAAATGTGGAGAAGGAATGCATCAAGAAAACACGCCCAGGAAAATTTTGCAAACACATTTTCTTGTCTTCAAGCTGCAATCTGATTCACAGGGTTCACTGTTCTGATCAGATAATAAACTCTTGGAAGAGATCATGATATGCCCAGGAGTATTTCACTAGGAAACAAAAACTTGTGGAAAAATAAAAGTATTTCCTTACATCCCTAACTGAATGTATTCTAGTATTTTAGTTATAGAAGATGCTTATGATAGCTTTTTGTGACATTTTTTCCAACTGCATCTAAAGATCAAACTCCCTGCCACAGTATTATTACAGTATTCAGATTATTTAAGGTTGAAGCCAACATATAAACCACTGATAAATTATTTTGTACTTAATCTGCCATTTTGGAAACAGGCATTGACTTCCCTCCAGACTAGACTAGCTCATGATTTGTCATGAGCATGGTATCAGTTCAAATGCCTACTCAAGGTCATTTGAATTTCACTGTCTGGTCAAGGTAGTGGTTCTCCCAGAAGAACTTCCTCGTTTTGAAAAAATAGAGGGGCAATTCCAAATGGTTATTTCCAATACTTAACTTGCTACTATTTTTAGTCCACTTTTAATTATTTTTTAGTCCACTTTTAATTATTTTTTGGTCTTATTTTCCTTTTGCATCTTTTGCTATTGATGCAAAAAAATGTTCACAGATGAGGAAAGGTGACTGCATAGAAAGCAACAGTAGGCACAAAATGGAACTGAAGGAATAGATTCTATATATTCAATTCTCAGAATCTTACATCTTACACCAACATGTGCCAAGATCCTTTTAAATGAAAGATTACTATAGTAATGGCATTTCTCAAAATGAAATTCATAATAGCACACTTGTTCCTGATAACTGAGAATATTCAAAGAAGATTGTTTCTCCATGTTTGATAAAAGACATACTATTTGTTTGAGACTTAAAAGATTCACACAACATTTAAATTACATAATCATAGCATGTGAAAGGCAACTGCCAGCCCTAAGTGGAAAACCCTGTAACAATTTCAGCTCTGAGTAATGTAAAACCTAACCATAAACAAAACAGAACAAATTACTTCTTGACACTAAGTCATACCCTGAGAATATTCAGATGTCTGCAATTTGACAATGAGATGTGCAATAACACTCTGCAAATCTCCCACATTATTTTTTCTCAAAAAGACATGATTCATCACAGCTTTCAAGCCTTAAAAATATGTTGATAGAAACTGCCTCAATTTCACTGACAACAGAAGCAAAATTTCTGTAGAGTTTAATACCAAGTATCAGCTGAACCAAACACTTTGCCCAACGAGAAATATTACAGGAGCTTATCACAGTACCTTGTCTACATGGAAAATTAAATCCAGTTCACAGACATTTTCGAAACATTTGTCTAGTGTTTCCACAAATACCTGCAAACAGGAAAAAAAAGCCAGAGGTCAAGCTTTAACAGAAACTCAATAGTTCCAAAAGGTGTGAGGTTTAACAAATGCAAATAAACAGGAAATGAACACCAGGCAGACTTTGAGGCATGAAAAGCATCTATAGAAAATAAGTTGTTAACATTATTATGTCATCAGCATGTTATTTGTACAGGGCAAAACTGTATGCACAAGTCAGTTTATGTTATAAGTCTGCTAGAAGTCATGATTTTAAATAAAAGTGGCATCTTGAAAACGGGTCACATAATCCATGCTACAATTTTCTCAGCTGTGATTCAAACTCTTCCTTCCCATTTCATTGGAACCCAACTATTAAGGAAAAAAATCAGCTAGTTGTTGTTGTTTTTCATAATTATACTAATTATAATATTTTTTAACAATTACTAGATTGCAAGCATCTTCTGGCTAACTAGGCTATTGTTAACTTTGCCACACAGAGAAACATGTGCAATGCAAAGTGCCAGCATCATGCAAGTTTGTCAGCATTACAGCTTCCAGCAACAGTACAGAAGCTTTCACCTCGTGAATTCAGGATGGAACAAGAAAAAAAGTAGCTGTCTGCTGATCCTTTCAGGGATATCACCACATAAACTTAGAAAAGTCCAGCAGTTTATATGCAGGCAAATAACCCCCTCCCTGAATCTAGAATGTAAGTGCACAAAACAGAAAAATCCAAACAACTGCTGAAGTCCAGCCAATGATGATCTCTGACAGACACTGTTTGTTGCTGTGTTCTGGGTACTTCTGTAGCAGATTCCTTGGCATTCATTGTAGCCAGTTTTGGTACACTAAGAGCATCCCAGTTGCCACTTAGGCAGATAATGAAAAGATTACTTGCACTTCCAAAACTACTTAATTCCAATCACCACATGTTTGTGGTGAGTGCTTATAAAAGACTCCAGTCTTAGATACATATAAGCTCAATTTCCTTTATGCAAGGGATAACTCCTAGATGTCAAGACCTCCAAGTTAAATATATGGTTAAGCTTGAGAGCTTCTGCTCCTTAAAATTAAAAATAATTTCTGTAAGAACTTATTAATGACTAGCAAATAAACTGCAACTTGTGGAAAATTTTAATCTTGGTTTCAAGGCTGTTTTGTCACAATATGCATTTAACATTGTTTATTAAGTTGTCACTGTTGGGATTTGTGTCTTTTTCAATTCTAAACTCAAACCCTAAAACAGCAACACTGCAGAAGTTAAACATCTGGTTTTCATTCTCTCTCTTTTCAGCATGGTTTATTAACCCCATCTTAGTCTTTGAGAGGAATGAGATTTCAAACCGCCTAGGCCCAGAGAAATGGGAATGAGAAGCCATGTTCTGCTGACAAAAATAAAGTTGAGAAAAGGCCTAATTCTATAGATACATATTTATGTCTACAGACCCAGAGAAACAGGTCTACTTGGTATCAGGCATTTCCAGTTGTCTACCTTGCATATCAAGACAGATGTCTTCCATTTCTGAATCCCTGTCCCAGATCCTGCTTACACTATAAAAGAGGATTACATGGTGCTGTTGCTACTATAACTATTACAAATCTCCATTTTAAAGTTAAACAACATCTAACTAATGTTCCATGCATTTAGAACAAGAATCGTTCTTTAATACCAATCCATAATTTAAATAAGGAACATAGTGCATTTTCAGAGGCAGACTCAAGATAATAAGGTTCACTGACAACAGCTAACTAAGTAAATTAATATGGTTCATTATTAAATTAATCTTAAATTATTATTAGTTAACCTATACCGAGGCTAAGAAAAGCAGGTATTTTTTGTCTTTAAGCAGTTGTTAATTTGTTGTGATAAAAAGTCTTCTACAAAGAACGGGCGTGAGCAAACAAAGAGAATGTGTGTTAAGCAGAACAAACTATAAAGTTCAAAACTAAGTGCAGCAAGACAAATGACCAAGATGTTCTCTTACTTTCCTTGTACCTTAGGAGAATGTGGTTACAAGGACAGTGCTGTTTGATATTAGCTGCAGGAAGAAGATTGGAAATAGAGTGTAAATGCAACCTTTATCCCAAGGTTTTAGTTGACAGAGCTAACAGTTTTACACTATTTTTTAAATACATCATCAAGTTTGCACATGGATTTACATACTCTAACTTTGACATCCATCTAGTTCCTTGGAAAACAAAGGAATATGTTAAAAAAAAATAACATCCAAAAATCCTCCAAAAGGGCTCCCAACAGATATGTGCAGTTATTAGCAGTGTGTAACACAGAAGTTTTATTTTTGTGACCTTCTTCCAGGAACTAGGGCTTCTTCTACAATAAACACTTGATTCATAGTTACAGTGGTTACTTTTAAACCTTTACCCACTACTTAGTGACACCACCACACACTGAATGAACTCAGAGATCACTGCTTCCAATGCATGATCAGTAATGCAGGCTAAACATTTTTTAATCTAAAGGAAATCAGCTGGCACTGAATATTCCTCAGAGGGATTTCTCACTGGCTAATAATTTTTCATGGAAACTTTGGAAACTTCCTCAATGTCCCATTCATGATGGAGAGTGCATTAAGAGTAAAGCCAGCTCTGACAAGGTATACATCTATCACAAATAACTGGTCTTTAAAAGCATTAGTCTACAAGGCAATGTAGATCTTTTTACATTAACATTTCTTGACCTATTTTAAGACAACATCAAATAAGAATAATATGGAAAATAAAATCAGGGACACTTGCATCATAACCTCAGTAGATGGTCAAATGAATTGCATACTATGGCAAGAATTTCAGTACTTTAGTAATTACTTCAGACACTGAAAACTTGTAGATCAAAATAATCAGAAAACACCAACTTTTTCAGGGGACACACCCATCAATTTAAATGCACCTTGTGATGTTAATGGAAATGAAACATAAATGAATGAGTCAAATAGCAGAAAAATAAGGATGAATGCATATTGAATTGCTAGCCCCCCCTTGTGTTTCATTTTTGAAGGGATAATCTTTTACAATTCAATGAATAATCCATGCATATCTCCATGCAAGTAAACAGAAAAAAATAAAATAACCCTGCCACGCCTTTCTTTTGTAGTAAATATGCTTTAATAGAGCCAGGTACACAGCCAGAGAGTAAAGTACTTGAATCAAAATACTAAATCGCTACTGGATATATACAAGCCAGGAGCTCCCTACACTCAGCAATATATCAAAACGTAAAACACAACCTTTACCACAAAGGGCTCATTTTTTAATTAGGCAAGTAAGATGACAAAGGAATAAAATATATATTAGTATTGGAAAGATAACAAGGCTAGCAGAAAAATGAGAACACTTAATCCATTAAATGCATCTGATGCTAGACAATGTCAAATACTAACAAAAGTAGGTACAAAAGATGAAGTAAAAACAACACAAATAATTCTTATCAAGAATATGCTACTCCTCTTCCTAGGCTAAACTGAAATGTTAAACTTCAATACAGAATTAATTCAATCCTCTCCTTCCCTGTTTTTTGACTGTTCAAATGCTACTTAAGAGTCCAACTAATTTAGAGCATAATAGTCTGATCATACAGTCTGTTGTCCATACGTAACTGTGTTTTGCCTTCTGCTTTTAGTAAATCATCACTCACATATCATTCCAAGCATATGAAATCAACTACAGTGTTTGCACGGCCTTTCTAACTGAGCAATCCTTGGGAGTATCCACTACATTTCCCCACACTTACACTGACATCCCAGTTTTCTTCAAATATACATATATTCTTTTAACTATTTATACATCATACAGAGGATGCCAAGACTGCAGCGTAAGGGAAAGACATTACAAGTCTTGCTGATCAGTGCTAGCTGCAAGCAGAACTACCAATAGACTTAATGCATTACAATAAGGCTTTTTAGGTCAAAACTTTTTTTTGTTCATAATTCCAGCCCTTTACTTTCCACCCAACTCCAACTTAAGATAATAGCATTAACTGAGAACTACAGTTAGGGATTTTTTTGCCAAAATAGGTATCCCTCTGTCATATGCCTTTCCCTTCTCTATTTAATTACATAAAAGCATCTCTGGTCTGGAAAACTTACCTTTTAAGAATTGAGGAAAACATCTTCCATAAATTGCACTGCATTTCCCATATGCATTTCACTGAACATCATCTTGCAAGGATATATATAGCTCTTCATGGAAGACTGATCTCACAGATTCAGCTGCTTACTCAGTCAACATGCCTTAGAAGTATAACAATGGGCTAAATTCTCAAAAATGCTAGGACTTGGTTTTTAGGTCCATAAGATAGTCAGGTGCCAATGCAAATACCACTCAGTTTTTCCTCACAGCAGTCCACAGCTAGTTATATTTTCTTATGCATTTAATTTCCTAGTGCTATAACCTACATCACAGGGTGATCAATGGAGTGTGAAACAGCTACAACTCAGGATGCAATTTATATTGCATTCAAAAGAAAGACTGCAAAACCTACCAAGTAGCTGACCTATTTCCCATCCAATTAATCAAAAACAATAAGACTTAATCTGATGTTTGTATTACAAAAAAAGAAAGAAAATGGACAGAAATTAACAGTATGCATTTGCCTGAGATGTTCCAACACATCTAGTTTGAACACAGTAAAAAATCTGAGGTGATTTGTAACACAGACAGTCCATTTGTTAAGCCTGAAACAAGAAGATTTTCCTGTGAAACAGCTCTGACCTAATGGTGATGTAAGTGGCCTTCAATGAGTATCTTAAGTACTACAGAAAAGCTTTTCACTGGAAAGAACTGGAGACTACTATATGTAATCTAATCTACTAAAGATTTATTCCATTTACAAGACACTGAACTAGTAAGTGCTAGACTGAGTTCTAGGTTAATATTCACAGAATCGCAGGATCATCATGGTTGGAAAGGACCTCTGAGATCACAAAGTCCAACCAGCAGCACAAAAAAAGCTTCCCCCCAAACCAAAACAAGTTCAATTTTATCAGTTTATTTTCATGAGATCATAAACTGGCCCTCTACGTAAACTCATCTCTTTACTTCTTTAGATAATTCAGTGTATATATGATTCATAAAAAAACTCCTGATGGCTTAGTCTTACCTGTATTGCCTCTGAACTATAATAAGCAAAGATGTTTGAAAATGGTTCAACATTTCTGAACAAAAAACAGACAAAGCCTATTTGCTTGAGTAGGTGTGTATGTGTATATGCTGCCAGTTTGTTTTGCAGGTGGGGTTGAGATGTAATAACAAACTTTCTGAGGGTGACTTTCTGGGGTAAGATACATTTAATTCTGATTGCTAATGCTATGAGGATTAACCAGATCCTTCTTGTGAGCCAGACTGAAATTTAAAAATGTTTAACTAATCTCTGTATATTTTCAACTTGAATTATATGGTTGAAACACAATGAGCTAGAGAAATGGGAATACTGAACAGGTGCAGACACTGTGGTAAGACTGCATTTATAAACAAAATTATAAAGGTCAGTAAAAAAAGTGAAGTATTTCTATAAATATTATTTCTACTTCCGGCAAGTGATTATACTAGCATGTAATTTAACACCAAGGCATAATGGAAAAATAAAAAAACTGAGAGAACAAAATCCATCAAAATACTTCTGGCATAAGAAGGAAAACTATTTAGAGAAAAGTTTAAGACCTTCATAATTCAGAGAGTTTGCGAGCTACAAAAATATAGGTAGTAGTAGGCTCAAACAATTTCCTTCAACACCTTAAAGTTAGGTTACACAGTTACACTAAAAATAATTGGAAGCTACTGATGTGACATTTTTAATACACCATAATGAATAATACCTTAGCTGAACATGCATAACGGCCCTGCAAAATGTAACAGGCCAGATCAATCTACGTAAATCCTATCTTTCTTATCTGATTAAACATAAGATACTTACAATATCCACTTCACCTGAAAAACATCCATGTTAAATATTAACATGCATCTTCTCCCACTTCACAAGTATTTTAGCGCTTCCAAGTAAGAAGACACACTAAGCAACAAAGCAACTCTGTACAATTAACTGCTACAAACAGGTAACTTCATTGTAACGATCAGTAGCTCGCACTGTTCGGATCCTGCAAAATGTTTCTACGACCCAATATTGTATAAGAATGTAGAAAAAGTTCTGTTCCTCGCTACCCACACAGGCGATTCAGAAAAGCAATAACCACTACTAGGTGACTATGAGAAGACACTCAGCTCCAAGACAGGTCTGCAGGGAATTGTATGGCCCTTAAGGCTCACAGTGCTTTCTGCAGTGAAATTATCAATAGATAAAGGCCCATGTCTCAGGATACCACAGATTTTGCTTATGTAATAAATCAATTATCTTGATAAGCTTTTGAAAGGTTTAACAGTAAGCAAATCATACAGATATATACATATAGATATATCTCAAAGATCCATTTTATGTAATTACATAGATCACTTCATGGCACAAAACTATTTTTTGCCACATCTGACTACACTAACAACTGTAAGTGAAACTGTTTATCTGCAAATTTATGTTGACAAATCACTGGTGTAGTCAGAGTTCTCACAACAGAAGTGTGCACATTACCAGACATTATTATCCTTGCTGAGTTGATAGAGACATATTTAACAGTTTAAATCACATGTATTTGGAGGCCAGCAGAAGATACTGTATTCACCAAGTTAGTGATTTTGAACAGGCCATGCCTCTTCTATTGGGCCTGAGAAGCCTGTATCTTATTAATTTATCTATAACTTATAATGCTTTGGGGAAGGTAAACTGCAGGTGCATCAAGGAGTAGAATATATTGATTCTGACCCAGAGATCACTGTTTATGAGCTGGTGATCCACACTTAACCTGGGTAAGCACATGCCTGTGCTCTGCTGCACAAATTCCTTGGCTGAAGGATAAACTCAGTCAGCTCACTGTAATAGAGGAGCCTAACAAGCAGCTCTCACTTGCTACTGGTGACGATGTCACCTCCATGGCCTTGCCTGTAACCCAAAGTGCAGCAGGAGTTTCTCATCAGAAGATCATCTGGGAATAGACAGCCGCAAGAAAAGTTTAATCCAAAGTGGCTGATGTGTTGCACGTATTAATCTATTACATACTTGCAGTGAATACATATACATGTGTCTGTGTGTATATGCACTCATGCAGCTCTATGCATTAAGGTGCTCATAATCTAAACTTACCTAGGAAGTATGTGAACTGCAGCATTTTTATCTGCAGCCAAAACAAGGCCTTTAAAAGCTACAGAAGAAAACAGCTGCTGATTGTTCAGTAGGTTCCAAACAGTTTCCTTGCCTTCTCACCAACCTGGCATATGACGTATTCAAAAAGACAATCCAGAAAACTGCAAACAATCTAAAAGTAATACTCAGCACTTTGGCTGTGTTGACAGAATGAAAGTCACCTTCACTTCCAAATATTAACAGAAAAAGACACAGCTAAATATTGAAGTTCTAATTATTAAAAATAGAATTCCATATATTAAAAAAAACAAAACACAAAAAACACAACAAAAACCCAACAAACCAGCAAAAAAACACTTACTTGTATGAGGTCTAGAATGCCAAGCTCACTTTCTGAAGAATCCACACAGAAGACAAAATACAAGGTGGCATAGTGTCGGTAAATTAGTTTGTTATCAGATCCACCTATTAATCTTAACAGGAAAGAAAACAAGAAAGCTTAGTTAGCATCTCAGGATAAGCTGGGCAAATCCTTACAGTTACTGCAGTTAATAGGAGCCCTTTTGTTAATGGCTGTCTGGAGCCTTCCCAAATGCAACTGTATCACAGCTTTTAAGGGAAGAAAACTAAGAACCAAGTCAGCCCAAGCTGCATTTACCACACAAGCAGTTATTGTTATCCATATGGACAAGAATTACATCAACATATGCACCTTTCTTATTATAATAAATTCAAACAGGTAATTCAGTTTCAACAACAAAATTAATATTAAATGTACTTCAATCACACACTAGCGGACACTGTGCAGGGATTAATCTGCTTTACAGCTTAACAGGGCACATGCCTATGAATCCTTCCTTGCCCTTCTCAGAGGAGCATCAACAGAAAAATAAAGCTATAATGCAGATTGCCATTTGGATTACAGAAAAAGCCTTAAATCGGGTTTATGGTCCACTTAACCAAGAACATGGAGCACTCTTGTGCTACAAACTGTTTGATATTTTGAGAAATAAGACTGTACTACAAGTAACAGTTTCTGATGCAATGTTAAAGTCATAGAACACTAATCAAGTTACTGAACAAGAAAAGGGGTCTTGACAGGTGTTTCCTTCCACCCTTCTCCTACAGCCTTCACAAAGAACATACATAAATCATAAGAAGAGATATTCTTCAGTTCATCAACATTTACTTGGAGCAGTAGGATGCCTGCTCAAATAAAAAAGAAAATATTTTATAGCCTGAATCTACATGACTATCAAACATAACTCTCCCTTAATTCTGTACCAGAACTGAATCACCTGTTTCTTGTACCACAACTCATCCCTTTAGGTCCAGCCTTTATCACTGGAAAAGAATACATAAAAAATAAAAAGAACATTAAATCTTTTAGGTCATCTTTGCTTAAGCACATTGTTTTGCATTAATGCTTGGGTGGGGGAGGAAGAACCCACAGCTGTGATTTTTTTAAAAGTCCTCAAAATGGCTTGTATTTCACCTACAGATTTCAAGACAGTATGTTTGCAGCTTGAAATCATCTCCAAGAACCTAATGATAAAATCATCAGTTGAATAGCTGAAAGATAATTATTTTAGTTTTTTTAAAAAATAAAATTAAAAAATCAGGAATCATCTTGATCACAAAATGACATCATAGTTGACATGGTTCAGCTACACATTTAACGGATTCAGCATACAGAAAAATTTAGGCAGTAACATGCTAACTTTCAGTAATCATAAATTTCTACAATTTCAATATTGTGCAGGCTCTGACCATCTCTATATTTAGTTTGGAGATCATGAGCTTATTCCCTCAATTATGACCCCTTTTCCTAGAAGGTGGCTTTGTAACCATTTACTCTTAATGACCAGTATCTCAGAATGAGACACTACACCATCTCAGAATTTCTTCAACTAAACCACATTAAAAAACCACCAAGATTATTCCAAAATGAATATTTTGGGCGTATCTTCTACAGACAGAAGATGCAAGTCTGGCTTTCCTCCTACCTTGATAAACCTTTATTAACAAGAGAAGACTGTCAAAACTGCTTTAGTTAACAGATTTAAAGCCTACTTTTTTTCTTCCCAGGTTACACAGCAAGCCTGAGCCGTGATAAAAAGGCTGAGGAATCCTACTATCAGGGGCTGTTCACTCAAATTTTAGGAGCTCAAGCCAAAGTAGCAGCCACAAAATAATTTTATTTTCTCAGTGGGTAATGGCAAGTATCAATGTCACTTCAAATGAGACCGGAAATGTCTGGCTTGATTATAGGGAAATTAGTCAGGTATCATCTGCCTGTTTATTCCCCATCTTGTGTCTGAAACAATTATAGCACTAGATACAGCTAGATATAGTTTTATTGATCATTTGGATATGTATATATACAAATACACAAAATGTATATGTATGCTTCAGTTAGTAAGGAACATGTATGCCTGGTGCAACATGGTATTATTCGCTGTGTATTAAATAGCTCAAGTGACATGGCATTTACATTACAACTGTAAAAACAGTTATACTAAAATCAGCAGTAATTATATTGCTAGCCAGTAAGTACTGGGAATTTATTTCAAACTTGGTACTTACAGTCCTCCTTCTAGGAAATTACAGACATTTTCATCACGTTTTGACACTAAATGGAAAGTTTCTCTGATAATTTGTTGCTGCGTATCTTCACTCTATGACAGAAAACATATTTTGCTATAAAGCTAAAATGGATTATACAACAATGCACAGCACACACATAATAAAGAAAACAAATTTTATTAGCACCCTCAAACGATCTACTTCTGAATCCTTAAATCTGCCAATTTACAAGCTGCAGATATTTTTACAAGTTGCATTAGATTTATACATTACTGAGAAGCAACTGGAAAAAGATTAAGAAAACTCTAAAAAAGCCCTTTAAAAAAACATTTTCTTCAAGTAAATGGGAAGTCTTCTCAAGTATTCTGGATTTTTTTTATCTCCACCATAGCCTGTACAGCTACAGAAATGTCTTGAAACTACTTTCACCCATGAACAGGGGGGGAAAACAATGTCTCAAAAGCTTGAAGGGGTGGGGAAGCTAAAATTCCAACAATACATAACTTTCAGAAATAGCTTTAAATAAAACAGCATCATGAGCAACAGCTAGCAGATCAGAAACATCACTTCTGAGTTTGAATTCAATGGACTCCTCCAGAGCCCCCACTGCAACTCCATCACTCCTACACACTTGCTTTTTGCTGCTCTTCTGTAAGAGTGGACTCATTTTTAACAAGTTTCCACGTCCATAATGAAAGAAGTCTAGATGCACTTCCTAAAATCCTACATTGTTTTTTTAACATAGAACCCTGAAGTTATCAAGGACAGATAGACTCCAACCCTGCCTGAGTACGCATGTCAGCATTTTAAACCACTTTACGCACAATCTAATCAAAACTGGTGCATGTATCTCAAACATTATTTCAGCTGGAACAAAGCAGTACCCTGCATATCTGCTAAGCAAACAAAGCCTGGCATTGGTTGGCATTCATCATCTTAATCCATGTGTTATTTTGCAGACCTGAGGAATCCAGAAAGGCATCCTCAAAAAGCTCCAGGACAAGTACATTGCTTCATAAAAGAGAGCAAGAAACTGCAGGCTCCTCCTTCTATGGCTTGTGTGCCTTTAACAGTCCCTGCTGTTCTCTACCACAGTCAGCTTAATTACTTTCCATGTATTTTCTATGGCTGCAGGAAGAAGACAGTGTGCCTTTTTTCCTTAAGAAAATGAGATACTGAATCTGCCCTCATTCACAAGTTGTTCAGAAAATTATTTTTAACGTAGTAATTATGGCAACAGCTCTACATTCTGTAACATAAAACCATGGCACACATCTTCCTATATAACTGCCGTGAAATGTTACTTTGCTACATAATTGCAAAAGACTATTAACTTCCTTTTATGCAGTAGAAACTAAACTCTTTCTATTCTCACATATATCAGGGAAAAATGTTGCACGTTTCATAAGAGATGGTATTGTGATGCACAGAAATACCTCTTTCACAGATCTGACCAAATTAATCTCTCTAGAAAGCGGGAGATGCTCCCATTTGTAGAAAAAAAAACAACCCTGAGATTTGACTCCAGCACTGGCTCAGTTGATATCAACACATGTGTAAGTGTCAAGAAGTCCATAAATAAACCTGCCTTGTTGAAGTCGCACACACAAAGATATTCAAACCAATTACAACTGTTTCTGTGAGCTGCAAAGCTTTAGGGAAACCACTTAAAAGACATAAATTCTTTGTTTGATGTGGTATTCACATTTTCAAAGTTTCAAGGTGTCCTGTTTACACACAGACATACTACCTTCCTTTAAGCATTGAGAATTTGTTCTAATTCCAGTTATGAAAGTGGGCAGCGCTGAGTGGACTTCACCAGAAAAATCTCAAATCCTCCTGCCATTCACTCCTGTCCTTCTGCTCTCCCTTTCAGGACTTTGATCACACAACAGTAATAGAAAACATAAGAACATTAAATACATCTGAATGGAAAATGATAATAGAAGTTAACTGTTTGACATGTGTGCAAGTTTTGCACACCTTCTCAGAGTCCTTCGTCTACCTATGTCTTTATGCTCCATAATGCCAGGAAACAAAATAGAGAATAAACTGAAAGAAACTTCTTTACTAATTCATTGTAGCTCTGCATTGGAAGATACTGGGACACTGGAGATGCACCCAAGGGGAACAGTTACCACTGTGTATAAGGAAGGATCTCCGTTTTAATGTTTAAATTCAAGATGGCAAATGAAAGACATTTGCTTGGTAACCCAGAAGTGATGAGCAAGGAAATTAGGTCGAAACCATAGATTAGAATTTCCCAATATTGCCTTTATAAAGGAAAAGGGATCAAATGCAGTGGTCTCATAGCAACGACCCGTATCAATTACACTCCTTTAATTAGTAGCGTGGCAGCACCAGCTGGAGCAGCACAGCCCCCCTCCTGCTCCCAGACGCAGAACTAAGACACGTGTCCCCCCCGCAAAGCCAAATCTGACTTCTCCAGGAGCCAGAACCGCACGTTGGCCACAAACCCCAGCACTCCTGATACAACACCGATC